GAGGCGCGCACCCCAGGGCCGTGTGTCTGGGCGCCAGGGCTGCCGCTGCCTCCCCCGCCTCCAGGAGCAGGTCCCCTGAGGTGGTGGTGGCTGAGCTTGGGAGTGACAGACAGGAGAGTCAGGGGACCTGCTCCCGGACGTTCTCTGCGCCAGCGTGAGTGTTTCCCGGGAGACAGCGCGGCCTTGGTCAGGCCCTGCTGTGGGGGCGGGGACCGCCTCTGCTGCCACATCACCCTTCTCCCACCCACGCCCCCCACGAGTGAGCCGTCCACCTGAGGTAGAGGCTGTCCCCTGTCCTCTGTGTCCCCCAATGAACCCTCGCCCCACCCCTCTGCTGGTCCCTCCACTGGGCTGTGGTGGTCGGTTCTTACTGCAAATACCCCCCGAAGGCTGGTAGCTGACCTGCTATGTCCAGGGTTCAGAATCACTGCCACTTATCAAGACCCCAGCCACGGCCCTGCCTAGGCCCCGTGGGCTGGGCCTCGAGCGCACCTGGGCAGTCCTCTCACCTGAGCCACCTGGGCCTCGCCCACGCGAGACTGCTGGCGGCCGGGCAGTGGGACGGGCTCCTGTGCTGCCCGAGGGTCGGTCAGTCAGAGGGGGTCCTGAACCCTGACATGTCGGAGGCGGCCGGACCATCCAGGCGAGATGCAGCTGTCAGCCTGTGGGGCACCACGCGTCAGCAGGACGTGTGTGTGTGTGTGTGTGTGTGTGTGTGTGCGTGTACGCGTGTGCGGTGTGCACATGTGGGAGGGAAGGGGCGCATGTCGGCGCGTGAGAGTGACGGACAGGAAAGGACAGATGTCCAGCGTGTGCACCGGTCGAGAGGGTGGCCTGTGTTTGCTTCCTCTTCCAGTTCACCACTGGAGGTGGGGGCGGACCTCGAGGGAGGGAGGGAGCAGGGATATGAGACCTGGCACCTGAGGGAGGACATGGGCCACGGGGGCTCCGGGAGCGGGTCGCCTTCGGTCCCAGAGCTGAGCTCGGGGCAGGTCTGGCTCTGAGGCCAGGGGCGGGGTGACGAGGTGGCCGTTGGACGTGATGGATGAGGAGGGGACAGTCTGTAAGCGGGCCCTGAGGAGCCGTGGAGGGGACAGCATTGGGGACACGGCTCCCTGGCTGCTGCTGGACACCCCCCCCTGGGACCCAAGGCCGCCACCCCGCCCTTCCCAGGACAAGGAGGCAGCACCGGGTGGAGCTGGGACTTGGGCGATTGAGGGCCGGCCCTGTCCTCCTCCCACCCTGCCTCTTGCTCTGAGCCCAGCCTGCTCTCCATCCTGCTCTGCCCCGCGTGGAGGATGAGTGGACATGGGCGCAGGCCTTGGGGTCCAGCCCACAAGGCCTGCAGTGTGAACAGACGGACAGCACCTCCTCTCGGGGCCCCGCACAGCCCTCGCCGCCTGCTTCTCTCCGCTGCTCCTGTGCGGGGGTTCTCTTGCCCACTCCACCTGGCTCCTGCCCCCCACGGCTGTGTGGGTGACTGGGCCCGCGCTCCAGACGCTTCTTCGTGTAAGTGCACTTACTCCGGGGCCGCCTTGCGCCTGCCGGCTCCGCTAATAAACCTTCTTCTTTCTCAACGCTCTCCTGTCGTCCTCTTGCTCTGCTCCCCCTGCCCTGGCCCGTGACGCTCCCCGGCTGAGGTTCGAGGGAGAATTCACGTGGCTCTCGGTTGTGTGGACACGGACCGACCCGCATGCTCGCGCAGGGACAGCTTTGCTTCCCCGGGGGACCCGTGTCCCTGCCGGGCATGTCTGTCAGCGAGGGAGGGGTGTTGGCAGGTGGTGGGTGGAGCCGTGCCCACAGGTGTCTCACCTTTTCTGCCTCAGCGTGGCGTGGAGGCAGCAGCCAGTTTGAGTGCTTGGGGAAGCATGGCGTCAGCTGTTTGGGGGTAAAGCTAAGACCAACAGGCCCCAGGAGCCCGCTGGGTCCCTGACTAGATGTCTCGTGTGGGGTCGGGCGGGTTCGGAGTGGGTGCATCTTAGAGAGTCTGCTCCAGGGCACGCAGGCTGCCCAGCCGAGGACTGTGGAGGGCGGGCGGGAAGGGACAGCGGCGGGCGAGACAGCAGCTGGAGAAGTCAGACTTTGGTCGGCACTTCTAGCCGCTTGGAAGGCAGAGGCTGGTGGGGGGGACGTTGTGGGGCTCAGGGCAGCTGGGTGGCCTGTGACGTGGGGATCAAGCGCACCGTGTGGCGCGATGTGAGGAATGGGGAGGCTTCGTTCTGAGACGCCTGCAGAGCGGAGCAGAGCAGCCAGTGGGACTTGCTGGGCACACTTTCCGCATCCCGGGTCCCAGGGAGGCCACACAGTGCGACAGCGGCGAGCACCTGTCCTTAGGTGAAACCCTGGACTTGGCACCTGCTGGACAGCGGGTGGAGGTGCCATGGCCCTGGGCTTCCTTCTTTTACCACAAACTCTGCCTGTGACTAGGGCGCAGCGGGCGGGGGGTGGGGGCGTGATCTGGGCTGGCAGAGGACACGAGAGGGGTGGCAGCCATCTCTCTCCCGGCTCCCACAGACCTGGGTGAGGCCCGGAGCAGCCTCCCTGCCCCGCCCCGCCCCCTCCACACCCTCCCTTCAGGGCCTGTTGAGGGGGTCACGGGCGAGCAGCGAGGGCTCAGGGGGCTTTTCCATCCTGGGCACCGGAGGGCAGAGTGAGCACAGAGCCACTCATCTGCCCCCAGGGGACCAGGTCCAGGGCAAGGTCAGGGCTGCCTGGGACCACCAGCCCCAGAGTGGACAGGCCAGGACCCAGCTGGAGCTGCAGGTCAAAGTGACGTCAGGCCGCTGGTTGGATGGGGGGAGGGTGGGCAGAGGAGCAGGCATGGGTGTGGGGCTGGGACTGGGGGTGCGGGCCCAGCTTTGCAGGAGGGAACCACGATGGTGACAGCAGGAGCGTGGTCAGCTTCCGGGGGCCTCCCGAGGACCTGCAGGGAGGCAGCACTGGGGTGGGTCTCACCCTCAGGCAGCCTCACAGACACCGAGGCCCTTCCCTGAAAAGTCCCCAGGGGCTGGCAGCACGGGTGTGGGCACCTCACTGAGAACTGCCATCTTAGCGGCTCTCCCCGAACCTTCGGTGGTGTCGAGATGGGGTGTGGGCCTAGGGTTGCTAGGCAACTGGTCGCCAAAGGGGATGGAACATGGATGGGACTGGACGGACACCAGGCGGTGCCGGTGACGGAGACTACAGGGAGCTGTGCTAACGGGTTTATTGGCCTCTCCCTGGAGAGCAATGAGGCTCTGCTGCCGACCGAGCCGCCCGGCTACTTGCGGGCCTGGCCGCCGCCCAAAGGCAGCCTGTCTGCGGGCCGGGCCCAGAGCGCCTTGAGCTTGCGGTAGAAGACGCGGCAGCTGAAGCCCTCCCTGAAGCCGCACTTGATGTGGCTCTTGAGGGAGCACAGGGTGGGGTACATGCGGCAGCAGGCCGCGCACTTGAAGCCGGTCTGCTGGGCCGGGAGCCCCCGGGAGGCCCTCAGGATGTCCTGGGAGCTGATGTGGTCGGAGTCCCCATGCCGGGCCTTGGCCTCGCGGGGTCCGGGGTTCTCGGGGGAGGAAGAGGACGAGCACAGGCTGTCGGCCGTGTCCTCCAGGAGGCAGCTGTCGCCCCGGCCCTCGTCCCGCGGCAGCTCGGGGAAGCCATGGGCCTCCCGGGGGCTCTCCTTGTCCACGCACACGAAGTAGCTGTAAGGGGAGAACCACGGCCGGTAGATGGTGCAGCTCCGCCTCGGCTGCTCCCCATTCTGGGGGTCCCCCAGCATGCAGTCTGCAAAGGAAAGGGCCGGTCTGAGCCTGGGCACGGGCGGAGGCGTGGGCAACAGCAGGCGGACGGGGGCCTCCCCATCTCCTGCTGGGAAGGGCGGTGTGATCGGTGGGTGGAGGCCCCCATCACCGCCCTGGCAGCTCCCAGGTGCTCCTCTAGGGACAGGCAGATGGACAGCGCAGCAGCCAGCCCTGGACCTCCAAAGGCCCTCGTCTGCCACCAGGATGTGACCATCGCTCCCACCGCGGGTCCCTGCCACAGCCCAGCAGGCAGCCCTAGGAAGTTGGAGAGGAGAGGCCGGAGGCCTGCAGCCTGGGTCTCTGGGAGGGAAGACCAGAGAGGAGGCTGCATGGGGAAGGCAGCACCTGACACCTGTCCCAGGGGCAGCCCCGGACCTTCTCCCACACCTGTGCCAGGGGGCTCACCTGGCGCCCATCCCAGGGGCTCACCTGGTGAGAGCACCACCCCTTGCCGCAGAGCGCTGCTCGGGTGCTGGGGCAGCGGGGCCTGCGCTGGGCTGGGTGCCTCCGTGGGGAACGTGGTCTTGGCAATGTCTAGGGGCAGAGGAGATGCTCTTGGAGCTGAGCGAGGGTGGGAGTCCTCCTCCTGGACCCACCAAGACATACCGCCAGGCCCCCCTCGGTGCGTGGGCACCAAGCAGCAGTGGAACAGTGGCCTCCTCTCCTGCCCCCGCGAGGGTCTGGCCACAGGCTGTGTGGCTGTGCCGTGGCCCCTCCTGAGGACAGGAGGAGAAGGCTTCTCCTATGGAAACATCTCCCCCCACAGCAGAGGGTGCAGGGACCCGCTGCCGTCACCTGGGCGCGCTGGGGCTTGGATCAGAAGCTCCCAGGACAGTGGCCCCGCTCGGTCTAGCCAGGTGTGTCGGTGCCTGAGCTGGGCGCAGGTGTGGGGAGCGTGCCCCTGTGCAGGTCCTGTAGCATGACCTGGTAGAACCTCCCACCGAAGGCCTCACACCCTGCATTTCCGTGGCCATCCTGGCAGGACCCACCTGGCAAGCTGGGGCCCCGTGGGGACATGAGGTCAGGAAAGGTGCTCAGGGCCGAGGAGGAGACCCGGGGCCCCGAGATGCTGAGGAGTGAGAAGCTCTCCATACTCGGACTGTTGCCGGGCACGCGGTCACACGCCTGCCCCAGGGGGCTCCGGGGTTGTCCGGGCGACAAGCATTCTGAGCACAGGTGACCTCACAAGCAGGCCCCAGCATTCCACCTCGGCCGGCTCACCCGCAGGGTCTGTGGCAAGAAAGACCAACCTTTGTAGAGACGTGCCACCTGTGGCTCCTCGCAGCCGCCTTGATGGAGGGTCCCGGCGCGAGGGGCAGGCTGGCCACTCGGCTCCTTCATTACGTTGGTGTCACTGTCTCCCAGCTCTGGGAACCTCTGTCCTCTGAGATCCTCCCTGCTCTTCTCCATCACCTGCTCGACCTCAGCCCGACCTCTGCCATTGGTGTTCTGTCATTTTAGTTTCTGGGTTTTTTCCCCAGTTTGGGTACATTTTTTCCATGTTCTTTGGAAATAATTCCAAACTTATAAAAAGTTGCAAAAATAAAATTAGTACAAAGAACATGCATAGGCCCTGTCCCCAGAGTCTCCTAATGCTACCGTTTCCCCCTGTTCTATGGGCCCCTCCCTCCCTCTGTGTGCAGAGCTCGCACTTTCCTGAGCTGCTGGAAGGCCGCTCGCCCACACAAAGCCGCTTTGTGCTCTTATACTTCAGTGCCGTCTCCTAGGGGAGCGGGGGTGGTTAAGTGGTGGTGCCGTCTGCTTCAGCAAACGGCCGGCTTACTCCACACTGCTCATTGCGAGCAGCCTGGCCCGCGGGGGCTGTGGAGGGTGAGGGGACAGGGCCTCTTGCAGGTCAGCTGGAGGCACCCCTTTCTAGACAGCTGTGAAGGGTGGCAACTCGGTGCGTAGCCCCTGGTGCGTACCGCGCTTTAGATCTCAAATGGGACACATTTGTGCCAAGGAAGCGCCCCCGCTCTGGGAGCAGCAGGGAGTGTGGGCGTGCCCGGGCCTCTGTGGCTGCCCGAGCTGCCGTCCTGTCTGTGGTCATGCTCGGGACCGACCGTCTGCAGGACGGTGCGTTTCTGTGAGCCTCACCAGGGCCTGGGAACCGGTGGGCTGGGAGCTGGTGCCGGCACCTTGGCTGTGGCACCTGGGCCAGCCTGTCATCCCACTCCACCCTCAGCCCCGTGTGGCACCTGCCCTGGCTCCCTGGCCCCTGTGTTAATTCACACAGTTGGCACAGACGACCCTCCTGGTCTGGAATCTAACGATTTGCGTGTGGAAAAGAGACGGCCCGGTAATGAGGGATGCGCACGTGGCCATAGGACGTGCGGTTGATCGGCCGCCGTGGCTGGGAGCTCAGGCACTGGGTGTGAGGCAGCTGTGGGGCGGGCCCAGCACCTGCTGCTCGGGTGGTTGAACACGGCTGTTTTGTTTAGTTGTTGAAAAGCTGATGGGGAGCTGGCCCCAAGGTCTGTGATAGCTGCGGGACCTCTGTCTCCTTCCTCTGCCTGGGGGTGGCCCCGCTGGAGGCCCAGGCAGGAGGGGCACGCGCCTGTGGTCCGTCTGCATAAACTGTCTCTCTCTTGTTTGCTCCCCACCTGCTTTCTGAGCCCTTTCTCGGTCGCACAGGTAAGAGACCGTCTTTCTTATGAATCACTGTCCCCAGATGTAATATGCATGTTGGAGTGTTGGGAGGGCCACGGGGTCCCCTTGCCACCGTTTTCTGAACCACCAGCCTCTGCGAGGGTGGGGCGGAGTGGGGTCATCAGTGAGCCGGATGGGGGGGGCGTGCTTGCCCCTCGCAGGTGTGGGTGGGGAGCCCCAGGCAGCGTCTCCCGCGGACCCCAGGGCCCTGCAGACATCCCAGGAGGAGCAGGCTGTGTGCTTGGAAAAGGCTGGGGAACAGATTCTGCACGTTTCTCAGCCCACGATGCGGCAGTTTTTAAGTATCATGTGAAAACTCCATTGGGTGACACCAACTTACTAAATGCCGGCTGTGCACAGGGCCTGTGCCGGGCGTCACAGAAATAAAAACCACACAAGGAGCCCGTTCCCTTGAGGAGGCAGCCTTTCGTCTTGGAGACACGGTCAGCAGGCAGGCTCAGGGGCTGTACCAAGGGCCTGAGGGGCTTTCAGTTCCTTGAGAGCTCATAGCACATTCTGAGAGGAGCGAGGGAGAGTACAGGTAGGCCAGCGGCGCCTGGGAAAGGTTACTTCATGTTCATAGAAAGTGTTTTTGAAAGAGTAGCAACAGGGGCCCACAGTCGGCAGAGCACTGCCGTGCTTTCAGCCATGCTGGCTGCTCGGCACCGTAAGCCAGCGGGTGGCCCGGAGCCAGAGGGGCTCGCCCTCCCACTCTCTGGTCCAGACAGCTCCTGATTTGGTGGAAACCGTCAAATGCCTTAGTCTCCCAGGCCTTCGCTGCTGGTTTGCAGATTTCATGATTACAGAAAATGCACGAGATGTGGGACGTGATAGCAAATGACGCAGAAAAAAAACAAGCCACCCTCCTCAGGAGGTCTGGAGGTGGAGGCCCTGTTTGGGCTGAGCTGGGAGCTCCTGCCAGGGGGTCTCCACCCCACGCTCCCAGGGACGCCCTCATTGAGTCCCCACAAGTCCCCACAGGGGTGCTTTTCCTGCACAGCGGTCAGGGGACATTTCAGAGGTCAAGACTGCGGTCCATCGTGGAGGGAGGTCTCCACACCTCTTCCCACAGGCACCTCCTGCCGCCCAAAGACCTTTAAAATTCGGCTTCCCAGGTCACTGGTCAGGAGGGATTGCTCGCTCAGAGTGCTCCCCGGCAGGACCCAGCAGCGCAGGCGGGGAGCGCTCAGCCAGAAGTCCAGCAGAGAAAAGTGCGCCCTCACCTCAGCTCGTCTGAGGACGGCCCAGCAAGGACAGGCGGGTCGCAGAGGTGCTGACCCGCCGGGAGCCTGGGCCAACCAGACCTCTCCTCCCCAGATTGAAGAAACCCATGTCTGGCCGCCGGCGGTGTGAGCTGGGTTTGCAGGGGCGAGGATACTGAGGGAGTGTGGACAGCATGGCATGGAGTTCTAGCCACTTTCATTACAAACCTTGAGCTACACGCTTGGCTTCCACACTTTTCCATCTGTAAAATGGGTTCAGAATTAAACTCAAAATATTTATTGAGCACCTACTGTGTGTAAGACCCAGGCCCGCTGTTGAAGATACAGAGATGAATGAGACGTGGCCCCTGCCCTCTGAGTGGACTGTGCTAGCCAGAGAGGCCCCGAGGGAGGGACGGGCACCAGGCAGGCTTAGGAGCTGGCAAAGCATCGAACGGGAAAATGGAGCTCTGGTTCCACCTCGGCTGTCAGGGCCCAGGCGCCTCGGCAGACAGCTCCTTCCTGTCCGCTCGCCGGCTCTCCGGGGATGCGTGAGGACGAAGTGAGCTGGGGTCGTCCTCTCCCGCTTCGGGAAGCCTCTGCGGGGCTGGCCCACTGTCCCAGGTTCCACCCCGGGGGGTGCGGTCAGCGCCGACTTCCCTGGGGACACTGCTGTGCACGAGGCTCCCTGGGGAAGCGCCCACACCTGCCGCCTGCCCGTGCTGTCCAGGCCCGAGGCGCAGCTCACACGTACTCTCAGCAACGAAAAAGCGCCCGTTCTGTGGCCTCATCCTGTTTCCTCACTCCCAGGGGCTCGTGGCCCCGGCGAGGGGACAGCCGTGAGTCTGGGAGGCAGCTTAAAGGGGTGGGTTAGCCTTTTCCCGCTCCAGCCGTCACCGCTCACCTGGGCGGGGAGACCAGACTTTCCAGTCCCATGTCCCATCCAGGACCCGGACGGGGAGGTCCAGGGTCTTGCTGGCTGTCTGGGATGTCCCTACCTCCTTACACAGCCCTGGGCGTGGTGCGGGGCGGGACACGCCGACGGCGGGGTGCACGCCTCCGCTCACTCGCCGCCTCTGTCTGTTCCTAGTGGGCCACAGCATGTTTGAGAATCTGAACGCGTCCCTCCCACCGAAGCC